AGTATTTTAATGATATTTATAATTTACATGTAGATAAGGATTTCTGATGTATTTAGGGTCTTTTTTTATAGTCTTTGGATTATATTATGGCATTTTTATTTGTTATATATAAAAGTAATTCCTTTTCATTCTGAAAATATTAATTCTCTCTTTTTCTTAAATGCAGTTCTTTTCTTCTGGTTCCTTTTCCGTCATAGCTAATGGGTATGTTAGCACTCCGGCAGTAGGAGTAAAGCATGTATTTTAAAAATTAATATTCTAGTTTATTGCATCCTTGAGAACAATGTTTTCAAATTAATTGGAGCTTCCTGTGACATAATTAATTTGCACTTTTCTTTGTAAATGTATTTGTAATGGCACCTGGTGACTTGAAGAGTGTTCCTTCTATACACACTGTCCTCAGTTCTCCCTGGCAGTTCAGCAGTGATCTGGCAGTGCCGCACCCACCTGAGGGCGGGCTGATAAGGATACAGAGAGAGACAGGTCTTAAGACAGGGCAATTAGACCTGATTGTGCTGATTTCCTCACTATGCTAGAAGACAACCCCATCAATTACTGATGGATCTATGGAACAGAGCCTAGTGCATGCATGAAAGACTTCATTGTTTTGGCCCTTGCACCATCAGTCATCTGTGAAAGCCTGAGTTAGGCCATCATTTGTGCATATGCTGGGCTTGGCTCCATTGCTGTGAGTAAAGCTCTGTTGCCACTGGGAAGCGTTGGCATGTAGAGAATGGGGATTTAGGCTTAATGCTGAGTTAAAATAAATCAAGTAAGAAATAAATAACAGTTATGTGGTATGTGCATATTTCAGATCATTTGTTTTTCTTTTGAGAAGTTAAAAATATTTTGAATGCACTGTTTGAATTTTTTAGAAGAAATTTTTTTCAAGTAATAAATACATATGGTTAAAAGAGCTAATAGAATTTACAGTGCAATTCACTACCCCTCTCCATTTGCTTAGACAACTTTACCTCTCTGATTTTAATTCTTCAGGGGGTTATCCCTATATATCCAAATAGTACGTTTGCAATAATATGTTTATTCATTTACTACTTCAAAGGATTTATCTCATTTACACAGTGTCCTGCCAATATAGTTGTATCACTGTTCTTAGTTTCTTGGTGGGTCATACCCGCTGTTGCTAATATTGTTACTGTGCACTATATCTCTTGGCTGCCCATTAGAAGATGATTAAGATGTGGCTAAGTTCTTATCTTTTCACTGGTCTCCCTTCCCCTACTTCTAATGCTAATCTTTGCCAGTTTTATTTTTACTTTTGCTTTGTGAGAGTTGAGTAGATCTATATTCTCTTCTGCAGTCTAAATTTTATCTATAGGTTGATTCTAAAAATTGAAAACCAGTAACTCACTACTGAGCCACTTTCTTATCTCTGCTTCTGGAGCCAACCCATCTATACTCACAGGAAAATTTTCCTGGGATTTCTATGTGTGTATGCATACATTTATATGTGCACATATTTTTGTATGTATGAGTGTGTGTGTGTGTGTGTGTATATATATATATATGTAATTTGAAAATTGATTAGAGTGATTTTTTTTTCTTTGGAGTTTCTATTTTTTCTTGTGAGTCCATATCGTATCTCAAGTCTTTCTAAGCTCTTAATCATCCATTCTCTTCAGTTAGAACCCTTTTTCCTAGTAATCATCCTCAAAATGATTGTACTCCTACCAAATGACAAGTGCGTGAATGATAAATCTCAGGAGTCTCTAAATTGCACTGGATTGATAGTTTGGCTAGTTACCAGGTATTAGGTTGAAAATTGTTCCTCCTAAGAATTTTGCTCCACTCTCTTCTAGCATCTAATGGTATTGATGAGAAGTTGGATTTCTGTCTGATTCTTTTTACCTCTTTATGGCTGACTTTTTCTTTTACCATCTTCTCTTTATCCTTGGTCTTCTAGAATTTTATGGTTATGTGTCTTTTCCCATTTCTCTTGCTTGACCCTCATTACACTCTATAATTTGAGGACTTGGATGTTCTATGTCTTTTTGGCTCTGATAATTTTTTTTATATTTATTCCATTTAAAAATGACTTTCCCTTTTTTCTATGTTATGTTTTATCTTTCCAGAAATCATATGAGTCTCATATTAGGCCCTTTAAATTCTGTCTCTCAATATCTCTTAATCTTTTTTGTGCTATTTTCTGGAATATTCTTTATTCATAGCCAAATTAGTTTAAGTTGCTCAGTCTTGGTGGGCTGAATAATTTTTACCATGATTTATAGACAGAGGGAAAAAAATATATTCTAAAACTTCATTAGGTAGATTAATTATAAATTTATGTCTCTTATTATGACTTCTTTTCTTACCTTTGTTTTCTAAATCTGTTTTTTAATATATTAGAACTAGAGAAAAATGAATTTTAAAAATGAAGGGTGAATATGATTGTTAATTATATTCTTTATCATTGTGATAATTTTACATATTTAGAGAATAATTATAAGAATTCTAATATTGTACTTACATATATAACTTCTCACTCACTTTGAAAACACTTATAACTAAAGAAAAGTTAGATTTAGAAGGCATTGGGCTTGTAACTCCTGTCTTGCTAACAGATGGTATAACCATCAGCTTTAGTAGTCCTTAACAGAATAAAGAATCAGCAGATTTAAGAGCTCTTGAAGACCTATAAATACTCAAGATTTTTCTATTTTCAAGATTTATACAGTTACATTCCTTTATGTGTTTTCATTAAACCTTTATAAATTTAGGAGTATAGCTGTTTTTGATAGAGGAAGCAATTAC